ATTGTCCACCTGTGATCCGATCGACCAAAACTAATCTAATACCAAGTGTATCAAGTTAATCCTTCAATGACTCATTCAAAATACACAAAACAAAAAGCCACATACTGACAAAATGATTTAACCCTAACAAAAGCCACTAAATAAAAACAGTGAAAGAATATGAATATCATTTTGATGAACTACTTCAGAGTACTGATAAACTGATAAATTAATCGCATTCCCCACCAATAGAAGGTCAATACATCAAAACTCTGGTTCACCTCCTGTGTTTGGTGGTTTTGCTCAACTGTCTGTTGGTTGATGAGTCGCTGCTGCTGAAGGTCCTCCTGGAGTTCCTGTACTCTAGCCTGCTCTTTCTCCAATGCCTGTAGACAGGCTCGATGTTCAGCCTCAACATTTTCCAGCTTTAGCCTGAAACACAGACAAACATTTTTCAGAAAAAAAATAAAATAAAAATATGGCATACTACTAGTGACAATTCATATTCAACGAGTGTGCATGCATGTTTGCTGTACCTGAGCTTGTGAATTTGGCTCTTTAATTCATCTTGATTTTTGTATGTAGTCTGAAGCTCTAGCCTGGTCTCTTCTAGCTCCGCCTTCAGCACGGACACAGCCTTTAGCTCCGCCTCCAACTGCCTCTGCCCCTCCAATCCCCTACCTTTCTCAGCTTCCAGAGAGGAGTGCAGATCATGCGACACTGTCTGTGCCTGTTGCAGCCGCAACTCCAGCTCTTCAACTAAACAGTGCACAGAGTTAAAATCTACCTTTGGGACTGTTTTTGTTGGTTTTCCAATACTTGCTGTCAATTTTTTCCCTCAAATGAATTGTGAAAAACATACCATCTTTATGCAGCTGATGTTGCGTTTCCATGCCCTGTTCTTTTGCGGTGTGTAGGGAATCCTGCAGCTGCCGCAGCTGCTCCTGGCTCTGCTGGGTGCTTGCATGCAGCTGTGCATGCAGGCTGCGCACCTCAGCCAATAGACTGTGACGGTCTGCGTTGAACAGCTGCTCTAGAGATCTCCACTGCTGCTCCTCCTGAAAGAGAATCAGAATATTTAATAAATAAAAGCACATGAATTTATTTCAAATGAGAATATCAGCATCAAAAACAGCATCATATGCTGGGCTTCTCAGCACCTGCTTCTGAAACAGTTTCTTTAACTGATCCAGCAAAGGGGTGAGGTCCATCTGAGTAGCGGTTGCCATGAAAGCTTGAAGCTGAGAGTGAAGCCATTCCCTTTCACTGTCAAACAAACTGCGGACAGCCTGCAATAGCTCACGCCTCCAGTCCACGTCCCCACTGTCAG